ATACCCCCTTAGGGTGTAAGAGGTTAACTTTATTTATCTATTGACTCCTGAACAGTGGTGATTTTTATATAGAGTCAAACTGTGCAGCTTTTCCCTTATTTTCCTAGTTCTTTTAATTTACTTTGTCTTTGTATGTCATATTAAATCAGAATGAGAAGCACATATGTTTTTGGTGTCTGTGTAATAAAATAGGATTAAAGGTATCTAAGCATCATGGGCTTTATACTTTATGTAGCCTGTTTGACATGTAATGGAGCCTCAGCCCCAATGCCATGACAGTTTAGTGACTTTGGCTTTTTCTTCATTGTGCTCATTTATAACTGAGGTAATGTTGAGTTGACATCAAAGAGATTATCAGATATTCATCTGCAGGATTGGTTCTAGTGCAGTGAGGAATGATGCCTCAAGGCAGCCTCAGATAATGCTTTGATGCTTCAAGGTCAAGTTCAGAATTTATTTTATGTATTCATTTAATTTAAATAATCTATTCTGAATAATAGAACCCACACAATATAATTTAAAGCAACTGAATGCAAAGGAGTAGAATGAAGAAATGTTTCTGAGAATGAAGAAACGTTTCTGTAGTCTGCCCTCTAACACAAATAATATTAAAATTGTACCCTGTAAAGCAACCATATAATTTTTTCGTTTTTTATTCCAGGTTTATCAAATTCCTGGGAAGGTGTTATTCAGCTCCTCTGCTAGGATCTACAATGTTTGTGACCTAAAAGCTGCAGAGAGACTTTTCCTTCTGCTTAAGAAAGACTCTCCCATCAAGATGTCCTCATACAATAGTCCAGGTACTAACAAGGCACAAAAAAAAACACAGGGAGGCCTGCGTGTGTTATATTTGTATCCTCACTGGTGCCATTTTGTCTTTTTCCTAGAAAGGAATTCATCTTTCCTACAATCAAGGCTGTTGGGTGACAGATGTCAGTGGATTGGCACTGTAATGACATGGAGTCGCCTGCAGGGGGAGCTGAAAGCAAGCAGAAATGCTGTTAGGATGAGCATGACCCAGGGAGCTAGAGAAAAGGGGAGAGGGAGTAAAAGGCAAAGTGAGGAGGGAGAACTGTGTCACCAAGAGTCCAGGAAGCGTGCATGTGAGTTTACATCGGACGACAGCGATGTAAAAAGACTGAGTGGCAGAGAACAGAGAAGACATGCAACAGAAGTGGAAAAAGAGGATAGTAACAGAGAACTGGAGGAGGTGTGCGCTGTGGATTCACAGAAAGAACTGGAGGGAAATGCGGAAAGATGCAAAAAAGACATGGATGGCTTGGAAAATGATCCTCCTTTGGAAAGTGTGGAAAAAGGTTCGTAAGAGTATAGTTTGCTGAATGCATCACTTGTTTAATCAGAGATATAAAGGGACACCCTGAGGATTAAACTATACATGTCTTTCTCCTTCAGTGTCATTTAGGATTAACTGTAAATGCAGCGGGTCGCTGTCTAGATGCATCACTGCACAGGTAAGAAAAGAGATCTACCATTTTATGCATCTTTATTATTAATTAAAACAATAAAATCGTATCTTTTTGGAGGGAGGAGAAGTTTAAAAAAAATTGCCCCTAATCGTTATTGCATAAAAAAATGCACTGATATCTGCACCAGTGTCTCAAATCGTCATTTGAATTTTGTATAGTTCTCAATGAGGAAACCTCCGAGAGGCATCTGAATAAAAGTTGATAATGTTACCATATTATTGCTGTTTATCTGTAGGAGGTAAGCAAAGTGATGGGAATAGGTTTGAGCCAAATGCTAGGCTGGAAGGCTGACCTGAAGAACCCGAAGCTGGAGGTAAAACCTCGTTATTGAATATTGTTTGCTCATATTTCACTGAATTATACTAAATCAAAATATATGTTATCTCTCTGCAGATTAACGTCTATCTGAGTGACGATTACTGCCTGCTGGGAATCCCACTCACTAGGTTACTTTCCTATCATGCCTCTTTGAAGTAACAGCGGGATCTAATGGATTTGAACTGCTTTAATGCATTGTGGTCTACTTGTTCTTCTTCAGGTCTCCTCTGGCTAATCGTAGCTATATTAAAACCACCGGGCTGAGGTCTACCATCGCCTGGGCCATGGCCTCCCTGGCTCAGATACAGGTGTGAAAACAAACTGCAAGGTTGCAAACTCCTGCAGTCATTGCTTTGAACAATAAGGGATAACAAACTTAGGGAGGACACGTTCCTCCTACAGATTTCTTTGGTTTTTGTTTCCTTTATCACTCTTTTCTATTCCACTTGTCTCATCAGTCAAAATACTAATTTCCCCAGAAGTCTTCAGGATGATCATAACGTTTTCTTCTAAATATGAAATAGAATATGTTGAGTATGTTTTTCATATTGGTGGTTTCCACCCATGAACCCCAGTTGGATGCCATTTTCTGGGCTGCTGTTGATTTAGACGAGATATTGATGCTATTGATATTTGGTAAGCAGCCAACTGAAAGGTTCACCACTGTTCTTGTGAGTAATGGCTCTCACTGTGGATCACTGGAGTCCCAAAACCCTCAGAAATACCTTCTTTTTTTATCCTTTCCAGACTGATGGATGGAAAAGTTTCTCATCTGATTTTAAAATACTTTAGATTACTTTTTTTTATATATCTTTTGCATTTATTTTTTTAATTCTGCTTGACTGATAGTAAAATGATCTTGGTTCAGCTAGAGAAACTAAATAAAAAAAGCTTAGTTAAAATCGTCTTTTTTTTAAGTCAAATGATCGTTATCTTAAATATAATCTGGTTGATGATTAGATCAATTTAGATACGACAAACACAAATCTGCTTAGGCTTTTTTTTTCTTCTGATATTAAAATAGTCATGTGCATGTTTATCCCAGCCAGGTTTTCGTGTACTTGATCCAATGTGTGGGGTAGGAACCATCTTAATAGAAGCTGCAAAAGAACACGAGGTGAGAGCATCAGTCTGCGCATCTCTTTAGAGGTTTAATCTTCCTTAGTTTTTAGCTATTGGAAAAACTGTAAGAAAAAATATCTGATTTGTCGCCATTTGGTTCCAAAGGCTGCCTGTTTTCTGGGGGTGGACGTTGACGATGGACAGCTGCTGAAAGCTGAGAAGAATATTGCATTTGCAGAGCTTTGGAGCAGAGCACACCTTCTGAAAGCATCGTCTCTGGGTACGAACAGCGCTAGAGTATGGAAGTGCATGATGTATTCAGAAAGGCAATTGCTTAGATAACATTGTTTTTTTTCTGGAAAAATATCGCTCTCATATGGCCTTCTAATCCATTTAAAAACTTTTTTTATCTCTCATGGACAATAAGTAATATGTTTTGTTTTTTCTGTTGATAGAAATGGAAAATAGGGTAGAAACGTGAAGAAAAAGGGGACTTACCGGTAACCAAATATGGTACAAAAGCACTACAATTAATCCCACTGATCTTAGAAGCAAAAAACTACATTAAATGAAAGCACATAAAAGGCGACACATAAATGATGAAAACAAAATACCCATTACCCATACCAATATTTCCCTGGTATTCAAATTATTTTACATTCACCGACTTAAAGTTATCCATTGAGAAAGTTTACTGACGTTTCAGTCCTGTTAAAAGGAACAACTTAAAGTAGAGCAAGGAGACTCTTTATTACCAATGCTGGATAACATAGATCTCAGCATATGCAAAACATGTAAAAATATTACTTTAAATAATACACTTAACCTGTGATTTTTACTACTATGAGTAGTAAAGTGTAGTAAAACGTTTCAAACCTTCCTTTTTTGTAGAAACTTTATTCAATTTTTTTTAAACATAAAACAAAAGAACAACCCTCAATTCCACCCACCCTCCCCCTGCTCCATGGATCATGAGCAATAAACATACTGTAAATGAAATACAAAAAGCAAATAACCATCTAAATAAAAAAGTCTGTCTTTACAATTATGGAGTCATGACATCAGATTCCATTTCTTGGATAAATCAGAGAACTGATTGTATCAACTTTTTGTATAGTACCCTGTATGGCCTAAGAAATTCGCTCCAAGATTAGATGCTGAATCAGATCATTAACCCAAAGCTGGAATGAGGGTGGAGATTTGTCCTTCTATTTCCTGAGAATAAGTCGCCTGGCCAAAAGGGTAGCATAAGCTGTCATTATTTTTGCCACTGGAACAACATTTCAAGTGCATGTTATCTAATTATCTTATTTTAAGAGTAAAAATACTCATTCCATTGGCAAACTATCTCATTTACCTACTCAAAATAAGAGTAAATACACTTAATTTAAGAAATATTTACTTATTTATAGATCATTTTTTCAATGAAGGAGCTCTCAGTTCTGCAACAGCCAATGCTAAAAGCTGTAAAAAATGACAAAAGCTTTAAAGAAGCCAAAACCATCTAAATGTTGTTTTTCTGCCTTCAAATTTGGATCTTCAAAAGCAACAACAAGAAACGGCCAAAAAGAGAAAAACAAGGTCTGAGCAGTCTTTGAGAAATTAAAAATACATTTTATCCAACAGAGATGTTAATTTAGCTAGGATCCTTTTGTTTCCCACCTCCTGCACTGAGTCCAGAGGGCATCCAGTCACTGAGCTGGCCTTCCTGATCAGCTTATCCAGCAGCTTTCCATAGCTGCAGATAAGCCACTGCTCCAACAGACAGCTCCATAGAACATGACTGATGCCAAAACGGGGGCATAGAAGGTCTTTAGGAGCACCCCCTGCACTCCAAAAGACCTCTGTCTACTCAGCAGGAAGAGTCTGATCTGACCTTTCTGAAACAGAGCCTCAGTGTTGTGAGTCTAGTCCAATATCAATATTATATCAAGTTCTTCTTCATATGTTTTAAAGGTTTTAAGTTATCAAGACTAAGTAACAAATACATTTTGTCAATATTCTCTACAACAAAGAATCGTCTTCTAAATGTTATCTAAAAGGGGTTCTGCTGGAAGTAATGGAAAGCTTTCCAAATTAGATGAGGAAGCTAATCATTTTGAAAATATATTAAAATAAAGTGTGCTGGAAGAGTACTAAACTGTGTTACCAAATAGTCAATGTCACAAACATGCTGTCCAAGAATAAATCTTAAACCATTTACACGCCACAGGAGGCCCACACCTATTACAGGTCCCCAAACTTATTATTTTCTAAAGGAGCATCTTTAGACATGAGGGATGAAAAGGCATGCCAAAATTGGGTCCATATTTTTAAGGAAGGCTTAACCACTGGGTTACTACAATTTAATCTGAAAAACTCACACGAAGAGAAAAGACAATTAGAAGAAATGTATTTATATGACTTTGTCTTTGGCGCTCAGACCTCACCAGGAAACATAGCGCTCAATTTTGATAGATACGTATGAACAGAAGCAAAGAATAGGGCTGTTCCCCCCAGGCCTGAAACTGGAGGTGGGGTGGAGATAGATGAAGTTGGTCAGTCTGTAGACTGCTGGTTAGCAAGACGGTCTGCTGAGCTTTATGGGGAGATCCAGTGGACTGCATGAGCTGATACTAGAGCTTCACTCAGGGACCTGGAAGATGGAAGTCCAGCTTGGATAACACAGGTTGAGAGAACCTGTCCATGATGAGCAAGCATGAAACGACAGTGGAGAGGAAAAACTACCTGTTGAAAAGGGGTCATCTGAATGAAGTCACATAGCGCAACCACCGCCTGCCCACAGGAGAAGACTAGCTGCAGATCGTACGTCTTTAAAGATGAACTTTGGATGCCGATTGGCTTTTTGCTGATTGCTCTCCTTCATCCAATCGGATGAAGGAGAGCAATCAGTTTCTTCAGTTGAACTTCCGCCTAGGCTCCATTGTACAGATAAATGTTCAGAAAAAGACAGCTTTATTGCAAGCTAAGGCATCTAAAGGCTTACCTTTCAAAACTTCTCATTTTGTGTCTAAGCAGCTCTAATGGCAAGTTAGTTTGGTTAAAAAATACTTTTTTTTTTTTTTTTTTAGTTGCATATTTTTTTCACTCCTCCTGGGTCAGAATCATTGTTCAGAAGTAGGATGTGATTCTTGCGTTGTGTCTAATATTACTTTATTGTCCCGTTTTGTTTCTCTTTGTCTCGACAGTGTTGCCTTTGCCCAGTGCCAGTGTTGATGCTGTTGTCTGTGATTTACCATTCGGCAGGAAGTTTAGCACCAGAGAAAATATGGCTGAGAAGCTTCCACTCATCCTCCGAGAGATGGAAAGGTTTGTTTTCTTTAGTATACTGTATAGCATTCCTTGGACATGAGTCATTTTAAGTTCTTTAAAACATTTTGGATGTTATAAACAGACTTGGAAAGAAATGTTTAAATTATAATTAATTCCAGATGTTTGTTTTTCTAGAGTCCTTTGTGTTGGTGGAACTCTAGTGGTGCTCCTGAGTCCTCAGTTGTCTTTTCTCCTGAAAAAACTTTTACAAACACGGACTGGACCAAAGGAAAACGAGGAAGCAGAGTCACACGCTGGCATAAATAACTGCCTTCCTTCCTCCTCAGAGAAGCAATCCTCATCTTCACAGGAAGCTTTGAATTTTTCAACTCTTAGACACCAAAGCACACAGAGAGTAAGCTTGGGGTTAATAGATGGACTGATCCATAAATACATCAAAACACTTGATTAGGATTAAAAATAACATTTTTAATCATATAATGCTCTGTCATATCTGAGAAATTAGTTCTTATTTGAAATGCTGTATTTTTGTGTTTAAACTATAAATAAAAAATCTACTTGAATTAAACTCTAAACTCTCTTTCAAAGATTTCCCATTTTTATCAAACGCTATGAATGAAAATTTAAATATTTCATGAAGCGTTTCAGAACTTTTTTAATGTTATGGAATATTATAAATTTTTCACAGAGTTCTGCCTCAACTTTTTTGTTTTACTCTTCTTTTTAAGAATTGTTATATCATTAGATGCTCTTTTCAAAATAAATTGTTATGCTAAATAAATCAATATGTGAAAATTAAAATGAGCTGAACGTGCTAAACTTATTTGATTAAGCTACATTAAAAGGAGCCTATTAACAACCTAAAACATGTTAAATCTTTTGAATTGTGTCTTTTTACAAGAAAACTTATCATTTCTCCACTTGGTGAAAAAAAAAGGCTGAATCAGATGTTTTCTACCCTGTTTTTTTTTTTCTGACACTTTCATCAACAAGACTAGAATCAAGTCAAGTTCATACATTCCTTTTGATCTAACAATGGAATCAAATTTCCTTTATTAGATTAGAGCGGAGTTAATCCAAAGGGTTATAGGATCGTTGCACAGTCGCAATAACCTGAATTAATAATTAATTTTCTTTGATCATTTTCTAATATTTATTCAATATATTTATGAAATATCATTATAGATTACAACTGACAGGTGATTTCTGTGCATATACAGACTTAAATTTCCTATCTATTTGTAGGTTTTGTATGTTTCACCAATTTTAGTGATCAAGTTTTTATATTGTTAAAAGATGTTTAGAATTGTTCATTAAAATATCAATACTTTTTATGAGGACCTAAAGCTCTAGGTCCTTATATGCTGACGTGGATCTAGAGCAAAAAAAGAAAAAATCAACTCTGGAAAAGGATAATTTTATTAATTGTATTTTCAGTGTAGATAATTGTACATTGTATAAAGATAAAATTAGAAATAGCTATTTAGTAAAATAAAACATTGCAAAGTTTATCACCATTACCACAGTCTTTTTTTTTTTATCTCTGCTTCTGTCTCCTTGAACGCCAGTCGGCCCCAGCAGATGGAAAAGGAACTTTTCCTCTCAACTGTTTTGCTGTGAGGGATTACACGAGTCGATGCAGTCAACTGGTTTTCCATAGATAGAAAACTTTGAACCAATCTGACTGTAGGATCTGGTTGAATTTTCTCTGTAAAGTGCCTTGAGATGACATGTTGTGAATTGGCACTATATAAGTAAACTAAATTAGACTGATCCATTGCTAAAAAAAACAAAAGTATGTATAAAAACTATATACTTGGCTCAAAAAATAAAGGGAACACTCAAATATCACATCCCAGATCTGAATGAATGAAATATTCTCATTGTTCTGTACAAATCTGAAAGTGCTGACAACAAACTATTTAAAAAAAAGATCAATGGAAGTCAAACCAATAGAAGCCTTGATTAGGAGTCGCACCAAAAAATAAAGTGGAAAAAACACACTTTGATTTAATTTCCTTAAAACAGGTAAAAATGAGGCTCAGTATTGTGTGTGTTCTTCCTACAGTCCTTTGTTTCAATGCCTTTATCTTGCAGGAACTGCTGACACACTGCAGCAATATGAGATCTAACATTGTCCTGTATTAGGAGGAACCAGAGGCCAGCCATACCAGCATATGGACTCACAAAGGGGCCTGAGGATCTCATCTCAGTACCTAATGGCAGTCAAGCTACCTCTTGCAAACACATGGAGGGCTGTCTTGTCCTCCAAAGAAAAACGGCCCCCCCTTTACTGACCCACTGTCAAACTGGTCATTCTGAAGTCAATATTCAGGCAGCAGATCTATCTATCTATCTATACAGATCTATATATATATATATATATATATATATATATATATAGATATATATACATATGTGTGTATATATGTAGATATATGTATGTAGTATATATATATATATATATATTAGAAAAGACTTGATGGGTGGTTTCAGCTCTCTTTGGCGCCTCCTTTGGTTTGGTTGTCCTAAGGCTGCCAGCCACACCAAACCTTTGGTCATCATTGACTATTTTTTTAAAACTTTGGATTTGGTCTTCATCTCTCTTTCAAAGTACTAGAAAAAATTATTTTATGTATATACATTTTTGCCAGTTTATCAATTTCAAAAAGACTGAGTTCTTGTCTTTTATGAAAAAAAAAATATAATTAAATGTATCTACTGATTAATAAATGCTCAGTTTCAAGCTAGGCTCTGATAAATAAAAAATGTGTGTGTATATATATATATATATATATATATATATATATATATATATATATATATATATATATATATATATATATATATATATATATATACTGTATATTATCATCCTAGATGTCAACTGGGTTTCTATAGTAACTTATTATGTTGAAGCACATTTCTGCCATTGTTAAATTAAACTCATTTTAGCATCATTTTTTACACTTAGACACAAAGACAACACGCATCTTGGTGATTTATTTTCTTTCACACTTAAACGTTTCAAACTTAAACGTATTAAACTGTCAATTGTTGTTCACTGATTACAAAACTGTAATTTCACCATTATTGAATAACTAATAAATTAAAAGTAAGTAATGAGATTCATATGCCTAAAGCCAAACATGACCCCCTATTATTTACCTATCATTGATTTAAAAGTTTAATTCTGTCGAACTAAGTAAGTATTGAGCATTTCCATCATTTCCTTTGACAAACAACCTAGGAAGGGAAGGGAAGGCCAGGGTCTCCACTGCGCATGCGCCAAGCGCAGTGGAAGCCATGTTGGATCTACACTGGATCCTGGTTGGGATTTTCTAACGCCGTATGTTTTTCTTTAAAGAAATCCAATTTTCGTGCTTTTGTCGGGGTTCGTCGGCCGAACTCGATCGTAAACGATGAACTCCAGTGTCGACCTGTCCCGGCGGAATCCGCAGGAGGATTTTGAGCTGATCCAGAGGATAGGAAGTGGCACATACGGAGATGTATACAAGGTAAAAAAAAAAAAAAAAATAGCAGGGAGGGAGGCTTGCACCGAGTTCCTTTATCGGACAGGCTCTTCAAACGTTATGTACTTGTTTTCTTCTGCCCGTTGCAGATATTTGTACGAGTTTTTTTGTTTTTTACAAAAACATCAAAGGCCTGTCGTTTATTATACTATGTGTGTCGTGTTTTATTTCACCTATTCATGTTCTAATTCCATTGTCGGACATAAGATTACGGGTTGTCGATGTCTGTGTTCAGCTTCTTCTAGCTTAAAGCCGCTATTTCTAATAGTATTTGTCTTAAAGGTTAAAGCTATATATTTTTCTTTCTGGGGTCAAACATCCAAGGAGTCCGAAAAAAACAAATCCCTCAAGCTAGCTGTGAGGATGGTTGTTTACTTGTTGATGGGACGTTTTAAGCTAGCTGTCCGACTACAGGCGCAGGTACCCTTATAGCATACTGAAGCTAGCGAGTAGCTAGGCTGTTTTTTTGGAAACCTTATTCTTTATAACTTATGATTTTTATTCTTTATATGTTTCCGAGCACAGGAAATCGATTTAAGACTCGAAATGGCTAAAATGTTATCGGCTTCTGGGCCGAACTCTGTTCTTTTTGACTTCTACGTTAACTCTGATTTTAACCTATAGATATTTGCTAACTATGATCACAAAGGAAGTTTAATTTAAATGTTTTAATGGACTTTGGGTGAAATTAGTTTGGGTCTTGATCTTTCCAGGCCCCTCTTTGGAAGCAATCTGTGATTCAAAGTTGAATCAGAATCAAATTAATTTAAAATAAATACAATCAGGCACAATAAAGTTGGAAAAATAGTATATAATATAATATATTGTCTTAAAAAAAAAAAGTGAAAATATATTTCACTTTTTATTTTTTAAATATATTATCTTTAAAAAAAGTGAAAAAATATTTCACTTTTTATTTTTTTAAGATTTCCTAATCTACACACCAAACTTTGTGATAGGACAGTTATTTCTCTCTAATTTAGAATTGGCAGCTCAGAGGCACAAAATCTAAATATATAACTAAACTAAAACGTTTTTAAATCTAACTATGTTACAACTGGCAAATGAAACAATGCATGTCACTAATTACTTGAAATATTTAAACTAATTAGCATGATCTATTGATGCTATTTTGTTTTTTTTTTTAATATATCTTGATAAACCACACTAAATGTGAGATTAAATGTGTAATTTAGTCTGGCCCCGATGAATGAGACATTGGAAGATTGTTGATAAGAACAACCCCTTGTTTTTCAAACCATGTCTGTGCCTATTGGCCAACGCTCTGACCAATGAGCTCAACTGACTGCTGGTGGTGGAGTGTAAACAAACAGCCTGTTGGTAAAACGGCGAATAGGTCCTCCTTAAAAATGAATGAGCGTAGAGCCTCTTCCTGCTCATGTTTCAATGAAAAACCCAAGTCTAATCATTTCAAAGCTGATTCCAAAGCTGAGTCAACTAGGACTGTTCAATAGTTGTTGACATCTTCCTTGTTGTGCTTTCTCCAGAGTCACGCAGCTTTGTCGTCACGCCCTCAAAATCCCGCCTGCTACGCATCCAAAAGTTCTAAAAACATCTCTGCATTGTGATTGGCCCGCCGGTTCTAGGGCCTGGGGCATTTATCGAGGCTAGACCAACTCGTAGGCAAAAATGATTTTGGCTGCTGGGGCTAGTTTACTAGGCTAGGTAATCTGTACATTTTGTGATGAAACCAGTTAGTGGCTTGTGCACCAGACTCTGATGTTATTGACTTACTGTTCTAGAGGAGGTGAACATTTGTAGTTCAGTCCCCCACACATCTGTTTTAAAGCTCCACCGAAGGATCAGTGTTTCGTTCCCTGAAGTTTTTTTTTTCCCTTATCTTTTTGCATATTGTAAACTTTTGTGCTTAAACTAATGAAGATGGGAGTATCGGCCTAATGGTTAGGGGCATAGAGCTTGGAATCCTAAGGTTCTGAGTTCGAGCCTCACTCCCACATACAGCCACTCCGGGTCTCTGAGCAAGACCCTTAAGGGTAGATTAGACTTCTGCAACCGCTCACATGAAATGTCGCTTGGGTCTGGTTGCGAACCAGTTTTGCTGGTATGCTTCTGCACTGTCGGTCTGGAATTTCTAGGGACGCACAGCAGTTTCCGCCAAAGTGCAAGGGGGAGCCTATTGGAGAACTTCGGCGGTGGCGGCGGGAGTGTTTATCTTCCAAAACAAAAATGGCGGGTCTGAATGTTTCACAGAGATGGTTCTAAAGTTGCTAGACATCGAAAAGGGAACAGGTTCTGTTAATGGAGTTGGCAAAAAGGCAGATTAACCTTTCATCGTAGTTGTCCATTGTTCCTCGTTCTTTAAAAATGGTGCATCCCGGCATGGAATCGAGAAGGACGACTGTCACTACCCGATCCGTCCCAGAGGCACAATCCGTCCTGCGCATGTGCAAACAGACGTACATCTGAGTGTCCATAAATACTGTAATTATGGTACTAAAACTACTTATTTCTATCCTTAACTCACTAAAGAATGCTAATATTTATCTTTAGAAAATGCTTTATAAATTTTGTGAGACAATTTTTATGCTTGTCACATTTGTTTCGTTAAACTGCTTCTCTGGTGTCTTTATCAGACACGCTCAGAGCTGTCTGGCAAAGTATGATTAAACCATGTTTATCTGCATTTTAGTTGTTTCTTTCTTTAGATTACGCGCTATATAACATAAGGTTAAAACTAAGCGAAAACATTAAACTCAAAGTTAGCCACTGGAGGTTGCGAGGGATCCCATTTCCGGTGCAGATTGGGCAGAGACGAGTGATAAAGCAGAAATGATTTTAAGGCATTTATTTTCTCAGGAAATACATTGTTAACCTTTAACACATTATATTTTAGTATGTTTACTATTTTTGGTTAGGGAAAACGTAATTTAAGTATTTTTAACAAAATAAAACCGAGGATGATCCGGATGTATATCTTGATATGCATACACAAAGGAGCTGACCTCTCATGCGCAGAATGGTTCTGGGACAGATCGGGTCGTGACAACGACCACACCGACAGCCAGAAAGGTATACCAAGGACCAATCACAGCTGCTTTTTGTCCGCGCACTTCTTCTTGAGGTCTGCGTGGGTTTGTGACCATCCAACGCGTAGTCAGGATTTTTTTTTTTTTGGTGCACAGAGACAGATTTGACAAAGCAGAGGCTATGCATCAGAGGCATAAATTGGCCTTTAACCCCCGATTGCTCCCCAGCTGCCCCATGAATGCAGCCAACTGCTTGATGGGTTAAATGCAGAGGTACATTTCTCCAAATTGAGATCATTAAAGTTCAATTCATTTATTTTTTTAATCCTTGTTTGTTTCTTACTTCCATATCTTTGTCCAACTTGAGGCTGATAAGTCATACTGAATACCCTCAGAAGGACTGCATCAGGGATCTAATGCCCCTGCCAAACTTGTGACAAACTGATTAATGATCAGCGAGTTAAAAGTCATTCCTGGAATCCAAATAATAATGATAAAGCTTTACAAAACAAGAGGGGAATTCATTGCTTATATCAAATAGTCGATTTGGGAGTCCTTTTGTGTTGCATGGATGATAATGACATTACGCAGGGCATGCTCGCATTAATAACAAGGGTTTGCCGCATATCGGAGCCCCAACCTTAAACTGCTGGATTAAAGGATGTGCTGTAAGCACCAGGCCGTTTGGTAAGCCATGGATGCCTATATTTGGTTCTACCACTATGCGAAAAAAAGTGAGGCTCCGATAGGAATGTTTGAGCAGGAAACAAAGCATGAACTCGACTAGTTTGTTTGCTCCTCTGTTTGTAGCCCTGCCTCTCTTTCTGTCTTTGTAACTGAGGAGGGGGATTGGTTAAAGTAGGGGACAAGCCCTTTGACCAGCAGATCACATCTTTGATCCTCCAAAGAATTTGCCTTTAGGGAACCACTTGTGCCTAATTATTTTTGCTGCTTTCCCTATCCTTAAAGACCAGTTTAGTCTATTCTGGAATTTTAACACTGGTTTCATTTAACTGTGGAGGCCATAGATCCAAAAATCAGTATATATTCTGTTCTCAGTACTGATCAGATTCAGCTAAATGCTTTAACTGATGCCGATTTTTGATTTTATTTTTTAAGCCTAAAAATTAATTAACCTGAAACTATAGTATATCAAACACTAGCCTTCATTTGGCTAAAGCAATCTAGTTTATTATTGTAACTGTGTCCCACTTAACACATTTGTTATTGACAGTTCAGATGGTGTATTAGCTTGTGTTGGCAGATAAAGCCTTAAGCTTTTTTAGATTCCATCAGTCTCTATTAAACCATTGTCTTCCTCCTGCTAGCAATATTTTCAGACACATCAGCTTAAGGTTCTTCTAACGCTAGCTTAATTTACCGTCTGTTTTGATCATTTGTATTGTTTGGTTTGGATAAACTGGTTGTTCTGACCAAACACCTTTGGGAATATAAGAGCAGATGCTGCCATTTTGACTCTCCTCCAACTAGGAACATTTAACCTGGAGGAATGTATGATTGACAGACAGATTATTGATATATTGACAGACAAATATATATATATTTTTAATCTTAAATGGAAAATGTTTACTTATTTTTTACATTTTGACATAACTGCTCTAAGTAGGTTGCTCTGTCACCTAAAGGCATGTTTTAAAGTCTTTATACAGCATTTAACAATTAATCGATTACTAAATTAGTTGAAGATTATTTCAATAATTGATTAATCGCGACTAATCCTATTGTTTTAGCCTTAATGTGTATACAGAATAGTTAAAGTTTTGTTGTGGGAAAGTAGGAGGTCCATAAAAAAAATTTGACTCTATAGATTAAATTGGTTGGATGTTAAAGTTCATGTGTAAGAGTAAACTGACAAATACTTCTGTTCATATCGTATATCGGGGTGGTTCTGGTTACCCAGATGCAGAGAAAACTTAGAGAAAGTGTTTTTATTTCTGCTTTACGAGCAGAGCAGCA